AATCAGGTCTCCCCTCAGCCTCCTCTTCTCCAGGCTAAATAACCCCAGTTCCCTCAGCCGCTCCTCGTATGACTTGTGCTCCACACCCCTCACCAGCTTGGTTGCTCTCCTCTGGACATGTTCCAGCAACGCAACATCTTTCCTGCAGTGAGGGGCCCAAAACTGAACCCAGCATTCGAGGGGCGGCCTCACCAGCACGGAGTACAGGGGCACGGTCACTGCCCTGCTCCTGCTGGTCACACTATTCCTGATACAGGCCAGGATGCCATGATCCAGGCCAGGATGCCACGATCCAACGGTTAATTTGACTTTACCTGCTGTATCTTTTATAAATATCCTATTTAGAAATTATTTTGCACTCAGAAGTCTTTTTCCCCACCGTAGCTCTCGGGAACACTGGGATCTCAAACGGTGGTGGCAGTAGCTCCTGTTCCTGAAGCAAAGTAGCGCTAGAGCTGCAAGGGAGAAATGACGAGGAACCTGCAGAGCTCGGGCTCAGAGGTGCTCAGCTGTTCCGGCAGTGGGAAGCAATGATGCCCTCTAAGGAACCCGGCTCGAGGTAGGTGCCCTGCCTTGGGGACAGAGAGGCGGTAGGTGCCCTGCCTTGGGGACAGGGAGGAGGTAGGTGCCCTGCCTTGGGGACAGAGGCACAGCAAATGAGGCGATTCGATACCAGCATTTACTCCAGCTGCCGGGCTAGCCCGACACGTGCTCCAGCGCCAGACCCTCCTTTCGCCTTACTCTAACTCACAAAACCCATCGCTCACCTGTTTTACTTTTGGGCATTCCCCAAAGCACTGCCATACGTTTAAGTGGGTGCGGTCTCCACTAGCGCTCCGGTCCTCGGTCCAGATTTTGGAATGTTTCCCATGAACACTAAGGTTGGGAACATGAAAGCAGACTATTACTAATAATTCAAAATAATTTGCATCCTCTTTGTTTAACCTTTTGCCAACGAGCTGAAGAATTGAATATGCATCTAAGACGACAAAAGGGAGATGACAAGAGGCTTTTGCATTTATCCCCAAAGGTACCAGTCTTGAGTCAGCCCTGCTGAAGGGCCATAAAATGCCCCTTTCCCCTAACACACAACTTGGATGGGGCTGAGGTTCTCCTGGGATTCACACTTACGCCGGGTGAACTTATAAGTGCGCAGGGATT